TGGGCCTGGGCGCTGTCCCTCAGCTCTTCAGCTCAAGGCTAGCACTCTACCACTTGAGCCACAGTACCACTTCCGGCTTTTTCTTTTTGCTTATGTGGTGCTGAGGAATCGAACCCAGGGCCTTGAGCATGCAAGGCAAGCGCTCTACCACTGAGCCACCTTCCCAGCCCCCTATGTTTACTTCTTAAAGGGAAAGGATTTTTTTTCCCCCTGGCACTTGCATATTAGTCATTAAACTCTATATAGGGAGAATTAATTTAATGAAGAGTTTCTGTAGGATAGCTAGGCATTAGGGGCTCATACTGTAATCTTAGCTACTTAGGAGGCTGAGATCTGAGGATTGAAGATCATAGCTATGAGACTCTTATGAGACTCTTGTCTCTAATTAATCACCAAAAAGCCAAAAGTGGAGCTGAGGCTGAAGTGATAGAGCATTAGCCTTGAGCACAAAAGCTCAGGGACAGTGCCCAGTTTCTGAGTTCAAGCTCCACTACTGGCATACCAAAAAATTAAATTAAATTAAAAAAATAAAAATTAAGGGGCTGGGAAGGTGGCTTAGTGGTAGAGCGCTTGCCTTGCGTGCCTGAGGCCCTAGGTTTGATTCCTCAGCACCACATAAGCAAAAAAAAAAAAAAAAATTAAGTTAAAAAGTGGAGGAGGAAGAAAGGGCCTTAATTATGGCTCCTTCTGGGCTGGCTGGTATCTTGCACCTAGAGAACCATTTGGGAATGTGAGTAAGTGAGTGATAGTTCTAAAAGTTGGATGAAAAGGCTAAAAAAATGGAGGGTGAGAACTTGGAGCAGGCCTGGAGAATGTGGCAAAGCCGAACCATCTCATGTCTGCCAGAGCTTTCGAGGAACTTTTTCATTACACTTCTACCAGTCTGCTAGTTTCTCATGTCACAAACCACACACATGCACTGCCCTTTCCCCTTCTTTTTTTTTTGGGGGGGGGGGTCTGGTCGTGGGCGTGAACTCTGGGCCGGGGCGCTGTCCCTCAGCTCTTCAGCTCAAGGCTGAAGAAGCTGATTGTCACAAATCTCCAACCACCTGTCCATGTGGGATGCACATGATGCCTTAGTAACACATTGCTATGGATGGATGCAGGATGAACAGGGTACTTAATCAAGCACTTCAATTGGGAACCAAATCAAGCAATGTTTAAATGCTGCTGCTGACCGCAGGCTGCCCACAACACATCTACATCTTGGCACTCCATCAGATTACAAATGGGGTTAATAATGAGCACATAAATAAATGTAATGATCTACCTTCCTCTTTTTCCTTACTCCACTCAGAAACTCCATTTTTTCCATTGTGGAGAAACCGGCACAGTTCTAGCCATCACTTTTCTATTCCATTGGACACAAATTATATAGAGAGTAGAACAAAACTGCTGTTTAACTCCTGAAAAAAAGAAACAGCAAAGACTGGGTTTAACAAAGTCTTGTCAAGAGAATAAAGGAGAGCCAGGAGAGAGCAGCTGGTGTGTGCATCCTCCCCTGTGCCCACAGACAGGTTAGTCTTTCTTCAATTCCAGGAAGATGATCTTTTGGTCCACAGTAGTCTCCTGGCTGGGAAAAACCCATTGGATCTCCTTTCTCTCACTAGGTAAGACCAGTTCCCAAAAACAATGGTGTGGTATAATATTCAAGAAATAACTCAAGCCAACAAAGACCCCACAAGCATCAAATCCATAGAATAAAAAAGACTTAGCTCATGTCTTTGTTTGCATAGGTATGGGTGCTGAATTTAGGGACAATCAGAAGAGACCTAAGGAAACATTTCACCTCTGGACCTTCTAGGTAATTTTTGTTGTTGTTTTTTTGTTTGTTTGGGTTTTGGTGGTCGTGTGCGCATGCTTTTGTGAGTATGTTTATGTGCTTGTATGTGTGTGTGTGTGTGTGTGTGTGTGTGCACACACACGCGCGCCAAGCCTGGGGCTTGAACTCAGGGCCTTGGCACTGTCCCTTAGTTTCTTTGGCTCTAGGTGAGTGCTCTACCACTTGACCCACAGCTCCACTTCTCTCTCTCTCTCTCTCTCTCTCTCTCTCTCTCTCTGTTATTTTTTAAAGTTAAATGGAGTTGAGTCTCACATACTTTCCTGCACAGCCTGGCTTTGAATCATAGTTCTCAGATTTCAGCCTCTTGAGTAACTAGGAATACAGGCATGAGCCACTAGTACCCAGAAATGCCCTTCAGTTGTATTAGTGGCATGGAGGCTAGTAAAAGGTAAGTGTTCTTAAACTCTGAGATAATATATCATCAAGTTTGGAGCCCACTGATTTGAAACAGTGATTCTCAATCTCAGGGCTACCTGGCAGGACAGGCAGGAGCACATGGCTGTGTTCAGAGCTGGAAGGTAAAGAATTAATAATAAGTCAGGTGCCTGTGGCCCACACTTGAATCCCAGCTATTCTGAAGGTTGGGATCTGAGGATCACAGTTCTAAACCAGCCCATACAGGAAAGTCCAGGAGACTCTTATCTCTAATAAACTACTTAGAAAAAGCCAGAAGTGGTGCTGTGGCTCAAGTAGTAGAGTGCTAGCCTTGAGAAAAAAAAAAGTTCAGAGACAGCTCCTAGGCCCTGAGTTCAAGCCCCAGGACTGGCAAAAAGAAATAAAAATAAAAACAAAAAAGAATTAATTAATAGTAACTCCAGTCTTCATGTCAGTAGTCTAGTATCTCTACAGTGTGCAGTAGAGAAAAGACTCAGAACTTTGGATCAGAACATGATATTGCTGCTTAGAAACTATGAGTCCATAAAGAAGAGGTCAAAGATTCCCCAAGGAAGACCACACCACCTCTTAAAAATCCATAGCACTCTTTTCCTGGTGCCTGTCCATCCAAGCTACAATGTTAGACTCTGCTTCTGTCCCTCCATTCTCTCACTTGTACCCTCCTTGTTTTCTTTCTTTCTTTCTTTTTAAACTTTAAATTGTTTTGTTTTTATTCTCCACAATCCAGTTCTAACCCACAGTGGTGCAGAATGACCCTTCTTAGCGTCTTACCAGACCCGGGGACCTTCCTCTTCTATATCCCTAATGCCCTTAGCTTGGGTGTCTCACACACTGAGACTGAAGTATTGTTCATTTATTGCATAACAATGAAATCAGTATCATTACAGGAGTGAAAAATAATTCACCAGATACTGTTTTCTTCTATTGATGTGCAATGGATTATCCAAATTACCTGTTGGGCTGCTGCTGCTGCTGAAGTTGTCCAAGGAGTGGGAAGAAAACTTCTCTTGGGCATGACCAGAGGAGACTGCTCCACGCAAGCCTGCCACCGCCTCTGGTAGGCATTAGTATTCTGAAATAATCATCCTCACACTAGACTCCTTCCCTACCCACTCACTGATTTTGCTAGGGGGAAAAATGCAAAATCTGTACTTTGAGAGAGCCAGACCTTTCTCTATACAGAGCGAATGCATGTCTGTGTTCAGCATCCCAATGTGACGATTATACATTATGTTTACTGTGTGGCTAAATCTTACATTCTTCTACGCAAACACAAAGGAGTGACTACACAGTGTGTCTCACCCGTGCTTTTCCATTGTGACTTTTTCCTCCCTCTCATCCAGATTGCCTTCATGCTGAAATGTGCTCATAAAAATAACTGAGAAATTTTCAAACACATAGGTAACTTGAAAGGTGGAGAAAGAATGAATTGCAGGAGTGGGGTGTGTGTGTGTGTGTGTGTGTGTGTGTGTCCATGTGCCTGTGGAGTAAGCAGAATTTATTTAAAAATGCAAAACAAAAGCTGGGTTATGTAAGCAACACTGAATGGGCTTGTATAGCAAGAATGGAAACAAGATATGAACATTCACAAGTAAAATAGAAGAGTTCATTTGCTAGTGTCAAGAAGGAGGCAGAGATGAAATTATTCTAA